CTTAGATCAAACCCTAACATAATACTTATGAGGTGTAGCCTAGTAGTAGCTCAATGTCGTGATGAGTCCTTCTAACTTAATTTAAGGATAGTTTTATTTCACTTAAGCTCTCTCATCATGCCTAAATATCATGTCAGCTCCGATATCAAATGTCACGACCCAGACTTTATAGGATAACTGACCAAGATTTCTATATCTTTTTAATATATTATAGAAGATCAAATTTATCTCTTAGCAATTATATCCCTCCCCCAACACTTGTAGGCATATGTAACGACTTTGATATCTTGATATTTTCAAAATATATTAGGGATCCATATAATGTATACTCGTACCTCTTCTATGACTGAAAATGAAGGAGTACGTCATAGGAATTAAATTATATGAATGTCCACCGGTAGCTATACGTGTGGCCACTTGGGTATCGGGAAGAAGATGTCCAAAAATAGTACCCACATCTTGTTCAAAAAGATAAATTAAATTTAGAAACAAAATTCTTTAAGACGAAGGAACGTAATCACTTGAATTTTATTTGTATTTCCTAAATAAAAAATTTCATAATTAAAACTTTACCATATGGCTATAATTTATTTCCTAATAAGTGTATTCCTAAAATGTAAATTTATTTTTCAGCACTTAAGCTTTTTTCAATTATTAAATGAGAATTTTTAGATAAATATAATTATTTAATTAAATATTAAATATGAAAATAAAAAGAAAATAAAGTTTTTACCTTAATTGACATCTTCTCTACTCATCTATTTAAGTTGGAAGAATTCTCTTATTCACTTTAGTGGTGAACAATAAGAGTTTGAAGACCAGGAGAATAGAGGGAGGAAAGACAATGATCACCATAGGAGAATTGTAAGTCCTCCATTATTTCTTTAATTTAAGTTAAAATATTTAATTTATATTTATATTATTCTTATGAATTTTGGATATTATATAATGGCATATTTCAAAGAAAATTGAGATGCATGATGTAAATTTTAGAATTCATAATGTTCTTAAATTACCTAGAATTCTTTATGAATTTTAGATATTATTTAATGGTATTCTTTTTAAAAAAATTGATATACATGATGCCAATTTGCAATGTTATTAAGTTACCTTATTTTTTTATGAATTTCATATATTATTTGATGATAGATTTTTTAGAAAAGGAAAAGAGACATGATATAGATCTTAGAATTTATGATATTATCAAATTACCTCGAATTCTTTATGAATTATGGATATTATTTAAGGTAGATATTAAAAGCATTTTGAGATCCATGAAGTAAATTTTAGAATTTATGATGTTATTAAATCACCTAAATCTTAAATTATGAATTTCATAAAAGTTTATACATTTCTATTCATAGTTGGTTTTAGATGAATTAAATAAATTTAAAGTATGTCAAATACTTTTTAAAGTTCATGTTGCATTATATTAAATTTAATTGCTTATCTTTGTTATTTTATTTGTGTTAAGACACACCATAAGGAATTTTATATTTTTATTTAATAAAGTAGATAAGTTATTTACTTAATATTCTATAGAAAAAATAGATTGATGGGTCATCATTAAGTTTTGTTTAAAATACTGACTCAGATTGGATCACCACGAGATATAACCTAAGGGGACTGTAGTGTGGATCCGTCCTAATATGATGTTTACGATGATAGAAGAGGACAAAGTGACATATAGGTTAGTATTGATAGGACGATCATTTTTAAGAAGTAACAGACTGTGACTATTAAATGATTCCTTCATTCATTGTTAGGAGAAATGTATCATCACGTGTCGAGGAATGTATCCTCACCTGACAGGTGAGGATATTGAAGATGGAATACTATCATACATGTCTATTGAAGATGTGCTTCTTTTCCATCTTCCACCCAATTACATTTGATTATACTAATTCTTCTAAAATTTTCTTTGAATCTAAGGTGTGGTGCAAATAATTAGCAGCAACTATATGATTTCAAGCAACAAGAAGCATAATGGAGAGGTGACGAAGGCCAATGGCATCAGTAGATACATTGCCATCGATCTCGTGGAATCAGTGTTGATGCATATGAACCCCAAGGATGCCATGCGCCTAAGCACCACATGCAAGGAATGGAGGGTCACAACCCCACAATATGATCCAACTATACGTAAAACTCCATGGTTTTTCACCATCTTGCGTTCCACCAATTCCTGCATCCTACGAAGTGTGGTAAACGAGGATACATCGTTCGAGATCAAACTTCCTTGTTACTCCGGTGAAAGTATTTTCATCGATAATGTCTTACATGGTTGGCTGGTGATAGAGGATGTCACGGTCTCTTTGTATAATCCATTCTCTCGGCTGCGATTGGACCTTCCATTTGCCCCCTTCTCATCCTTTTATTCTTTTTACATGACATCAGCTCCGACGAATCCTGACTGCATCGTTCTCGGACACAACAGTGAGTATTTGTTCGTTTGGAGGCCCGGAGACGACTTTTGGAGCGTTGACAAAAATGTGGAAGTCAAATATTATAAGTCAGTCGTCATGTTCCGAGGGCAATTATATGCTATACGTTATTCAAAGATTTCAAGTAGACAGTTTGTGTGTTTCCAAGTTGCTCCGTTTCAACGCAAGGATTTGGATGTGCCACCGCCTATGGATCTTTATAACAATGACGTTTATTTAGTCGAATCTTGTGGGGAGTTGTTGATGGTGTGCATCTTTGGAGTGTCGAAAGTCCATCTGTTTCGACTTGATTTGAAGAACAAAGAATGGATCGAGATGGAGAGTTTGGGTGATCGAGCAATATTCCTGAATAAGAGACACAATAAAAATAGCGGTGTCTCTGTCTCCGCTCATGAAACTGGATGTCTTGGGAATTGTATATATCTCATTGATTGGATATCGGTGTATATTTACAACTTAGAAAATCATAGCATCAAAATATTTGACAAAGGGCTATTAGGATATAACTTGATGCAATGGATTATTCCGACTTCTAGTTGAAATAAATGACGACGACAATGATTATATTAGCTGGTCATGGAGATTTAAGTAATTTTGGAGTTTCTCTATATTTTGAAGCAAATAAGAGCTATTAATGGAATTGTATGTGGCGATTGACTATGTTTCATTTTATGAGCTTTTGCTTTCTCGAAGAAATCACGTTTCAGATGTGAACATGTGCTATGCAAATAGATATGCAACTCGTTATTGTTAATGATCATATAGCTCTTGAATCTGTATAAGTAAATCTCAAGTTTGAGAAATCATTAAACATATGCATGCAACTTGCAAAGTGACTAATCCATCTCCGATCATTGAACTTGGTAAGATGACAAAGGACTTATTGGAGAAAGATCGACCATAAATCTCTCTTCTTTTTTGTAAATATTTTCCTTTTAATTTTAGTTCTATTACACATGACAATGCCTATTTTATATTTAAATTAATAGTCATATTATGCATGTTTAAACAAATTTTTAGTGAGTAGTATCTCCTCCAAACATAACTCCAGTTCTAGAATCGGAATCGTATCGAGTTAAACCGATAGTTTCGATTTTGACGGTTATGGTTCTAGTTCGAAACATTAATTTTTTATTTTTTAAAAAATAAAACATAAAAAAAATTATGATTTGATTTCTAAGCTTTGAAAAATGGATGTATAATGAGTATAATGACTTAAAAAATTGATATAAAAAGGAGTAAAATTATAAAATTTTCAATTGTTTTCAGTGTCAATTGTTCTAATCAAGGATTGAAATATCGTAGTGTATCGAAGTTTCGACGTTCTTTCGGTATGATACGGTATTGTATACCAAGCGATATATCTTTTGATTTGATACAAATCAAGTAATAAACCTAAAAGATAAAGGACAGGATTTTTCTGAGTAAACTGTCCGATCAAAATGAGATTTGGTAATAATCGTGGAGAAAAGGAAAGCAGACCACTGAATTATTGGCTTTGTCACTGTAACGACTATTGATTTATTTAGATGCTCATCCAATCAACCAGAGAAAGAACACCATGGAGAAAAACCAAAAGAAAACAAGTACAAGCCCATGTTGTCTTCTCTTTAACCATTCTCCTCATTGGAACCAGAAACAAGAAAGATAATGAACTCTTCAGTTGAGGACCAAACAGAGCAAGTCAAGTGTTACTGTTTGCATGGGCTCCAAAAGGAAAGAATGCCAATGTTTTGCAACCTATGCAAACCCAGCATGCTTGGATGCTTTCTCCATCTCTGCCATCTCAATATGAGCTGTTCAAAAGATAGGCTTCCTCCATTTCTGCTAGCTGATCATAGTATTCTTTTGTCTTCTGTATGCAGACCATTCCTTTGTTGCTTGCACACAAACCACAAAGGTACAGTGGCAAGGGACAAAATGAGTTGGAATTTCTTTGTAGGTGTAATTGTGGTAATGATGGTTTTCCTGTGGGGATCACACTTTTGTCCTTTGTTGAGAAAATATTCTCTCTTCTTCAACTTAATCCCTTGTCAAGTTAAGATCATTAAAATTGTATACATTGCATAACTCTTTCTTTCCATTTATTTGCATATCTCTTCTTTCTTGGTAATTGAAACAAATAGAAACATCATTTATTTCAAAGTCAGTACTATAGATTAGACATCATTCCTAGTGTTTTTTGAACTTTAATATGTTTCAAAGTAAATGATTTCAGTTTTAGAATTTGAAAATATATTTTTTGCTATCAAAATCTTGGGATTAAGATGGACTCAATTCTTCATGTGGTTCTTCCATGAACAATGAAATACCCTTGAACAGGATTTCTGTTTGATGAAATGACAGGTTTTCTGTTGCATAAAATTAGGAAGCTAGTATTATTACATTGCAGGTGGAAGGAAGAAGAAAACAAGAACATTCCAAGAAACCATCGCTAGGAATCCATGTTCCTTCAGATCAAGTTCACCTTTTTATGCTCCCAATGCCCAACAAACCCATAGTTAAGTGGTCACTAATCTAAAAAGATGACATCTTCGTTATTCTTTAATCTCTTCTCTTTGTTTCGTTCTGTACTCTCTGCTGAATTCTGCCACCACTGCAGCTGCTGCTCCCCTTCGTCCACCTCCATTAGTGGTGACGGACGGATGCCTGTCGTCCACAGGCAAAGGCCATGTGCGCTCTTTAATGCGCGCACCCATTGTCAAAGCGCTCATCAGGATCCCTGCTTCCTTCGAGTACCAAAGATTCCGAGCGAGAACCGCCGCCTTGCAATCTGTGTCCGAGCTTTTTCTGTCCCGTTCTTTTCCCCGTCTCTCGTTTGATTCAACTTCCAGAACCTAGGGAGAGGATGAGGAATAAATTCGTTGCGCCGCTGTTTTCTTGGTGGGTTTAGCTCGAGTTGTTCGGGAAGCTGAGATTTTGGAGTAAAGATCGTTTCTTGGAGCCACCTTGGTGCGGAATTCTGGACGTTTTGATCCTTTTGGTCTTTCTCGACATTGGTTCGAAACAGACGAGTTTGGCCTTAAAAGATTGATCTTGCGGTGAGGTAGAAGTCCTTTATTGCGATTGAAGGCTACATTTGCTGCGTTTGGGGTACCAATTTAAGCTGCTTTGGTTTTATTGTTCAGAGTTCTGTAGGCTGATGCGCTATAAACAAATTAGACGAGGCGAAGGATGTTATGCTTAATTGAAGTTAATTTGTGTTGGTGCAAAGATTTCTTATTTATTCAATCGAAAGAAGAATTTAGCGTCTCTCCGTAAGGTTTTGCCGGGTTTGCATCAGCCATGGCATGCCTCAACAATTAGAGCAGCTGCTTGTCATCTAGGCTTGTATGACTTTGGCATACAGAAATGTAGCGAGGAACACATGATATTTTTTGACATCTAGCAAAGAAATCCGTGATGTTATCTTAAACCATAGGAAGTGAAGTCGTTCGGTTCGATCAAAGATGGCATGCACTTTTATCTTACCAACAATCATCTTGTCTTGTTTGTTCTTGGTGCCTCTCACCGAACAAAAGAAATCGACCCATACCCAGTTGTTGCTGCAGTTGAGGAAGCAGCTGGAGTACCCAATTCAGCTTGGTGCTTGGAACAACACCAATGATCTGTGCTATGCGCCGTCTTCACCTAGTCAAAGCATTACTTGTGATGGAAGCTCCGTCACAGAGCTCAAGATCGTGGGAGATAAGCTTGCAAAGCCTGGTAGATATGACGGTTACTCAGTCACCGGCAAGACTCTTTCGCCGGGCTTTTCTGTTGATTCTTTTGTCACAACTCTGACTAGATTGACGAGCTTGAAAGTGGTCATCTTGGTTTCTTTGGGGATATGGGGTCCCCTGCCGGACAAGATCCATAGGCTGTACTCACTTGAAGTGCTCGATTTAAGCTCAAACTTTTTCTATGGTTCCATCCCTCCCAAGATATCTGCCATGAAGAAGCTTCACACGTTTTCCCTGGATGGAAACTATTTCAATGACACCGTTCCTGATTGGTTTGCGTCATTGGACAACCTCATGATTTTGAGCTTGCGGAGAAATGGCCTGAAGGGATTGTTGCCCGGATCAATTAGCAGAGTCAGCACACTAACTGAACTTGCCTTGTCAGGCAATAGCATTTCAGGTAAAATCCCTGACCTAAGTAGCCTAAACAACCTTGAGACATTGGACCTGGGAGACAACAGGTTGGACTCTGAACTGCCTATCATGCCCAAAGGTCTCGTCACTATCTTGCTCAGCAAGAATTTGTTGTCTGGTGAGATTCCACAGCAGTTTGGGGAGTTGGATCGACTCCAACACCTTGACCTTTCATTTAACTTACTTGAGGGGTCTCCGCTGGCAGCTTTATTTTCTTTGCCAAACATCAGCTATTTGAATCTGGCATCTAACATGCTCAGTGGGTCCCTTCCGAGCAGTTTAACTTGCAGCGGCGAACTTGGGTTTATTGACATATCTAGTAACAAACTCACTGGTGAATTACCTTCTTGTTTGAGCTCAAATTCGGATAGGAGAGTTGTAAAGTTCAACTTGAATTGTTTATCTCTGAACACCCAGCATCAGCGTGGAGCGAATAGTTGCCAACTAAATAACATGAACGGGAAAGAGTCCAAGCGGAAGAACACTTGGTTGAAAGTTTCTATCATTGGAGGAATTGTCTTAGTTATGCTATTGCTTTTGTTAGTTCTTTTTGTTTCTTGCAAAAGAAACTGTCATCGAGCAATAGCAGAGAAACAACAGTTGCCAAAGTCGGTGCCATCAGCCACAGGGTTCTCATCCGAGCTTCTTACTAATGCAAGTAAGTAATCGTCTTCTAGATTTTCCTGCTTTTTCAATCAGAATGTTGGTTATGCCACATTCATTTGCCATGGTGTGATCATAAAAGATTTTACTAACTAGAGTGTCTTCATGCTTGACAAAGCATTTTTTGTTGTTTCTATTGTTGATCCATTCAACCAATAATAATCCTCTGTTTTGATATCTTGTTCATATTTTTCAGTAAAAGTTCAATTAAGTTCTAGCTGACACAAAAGGGACTATTTGGTGGATGATTTATGAAAGCAGACAAGTAAACCAGTGTTTGTATAGTTGATTTGCAATATTTCTCGTATCAACTGGTGATTCTTTTTACATGTGTCCTCACTCATAGGCTTTGGGTTGGATATTTATTCTTGAAATTAATCTTCCATAGTGTAAGATTTGAGTAAACCTTAAAACCAATATTCTTTTCAATTATGCTTCAAGATTAACACGGTAATTAGGAATGGGCCTTATCTATCTTGGGGTTACTTTAAAGTGTTATCCTAGATCGTCGTCTTTTTGAATTTCAAGATTTTAGAGTGATTAGATTAGTGGCAGGGTACTTTTTTCCTAAGTGCTTGATCTAACTGGTAATTCATTTAATCTTGTGTTCAAATTTACCAACCTGCTTCTCCCAATGGCCTTTAGAGTTTAGAATACCTGCTGCATTGACTGTGCAATTAGAAAAGTCGTTGACAGACATCTTCAGTTAGGGTGGTGGAATCCAGGGGACATCTTTGTGATTTATGATGGCCAAGAAGGAGCGCAGGCCTTGATAATAAGTGTTTGAAATCACTGCCTTGGTAAGAAAATGGTTATGGTGGCTTGCTTAGAGCCAGGTTATGCATGACATAAGGTCATCAGGAGTGTGCATGGCTTCCAACAGAATCAGTAGGATGCTAAAGCATGAAAAAATGTCACTTGTGCAAGTCTCTCTAAGTCATTTCATAGGATGACTTAGTATGTTGTAAGGTAGAAATTGTCTTGTTTCTTAAAAGAGGACACATGCAAAGGAAAGGTTTCTTTGCCAGAAGCATCTCTCATGGTTCTAAATTATATATAATGCACCCATTTCATGATTTCACTGAGACAAGCAAATATTGAGGCAAGCAAATATTGAGGCCTTCAATTTACTCCAAGATTTTGTTTTCTCTATTGATTTTGTCCTTACGGCAATAAGTTCAGAATCTGCTGCAAACCTTAAGGCTGAATTAAAACATCATCTATATTGGATATTGGCTCCTTAATATATGTAGAGATTGCCCAATCCAAGAGTATGCAGGATATAGTCGATATATATTAAGGGTTTTGGAAGTAGGGTTGGGATATTTCTTGATGGTTGTGCTATATCTTTGGCAGTCTTTTGTCTTTAGATGAATCAAAATGTGAATTCCAGTGTTAGAAAGAGTAGCATCTAGGCTGTCTGAGATTAAATTGCCACTGATCTCTTGTTGCATTTACAGTGAGATGGGTTGGATTTCCTGTACAAGCTTAGACCCTGTGGAAGCTTAGATTAAATTAAGATATTTCCTGTACAAGCTTAACCTTATATATTTCCATATCCTGCGGCCTTGTTTCTATAGGAACTGCAAAAGAGTAGCATCTAGCTGTCTGAGATTAAATTGGTAATGTGGGCCATCTTTAACCTTCCTGATTTGGTGGATGTATGCTAACATCTTTTGTGAAGGCTTGGTAATGTTGATGAAATTTTAGAGCCATTTAGTTTCATCTCATATCAACCAAACTGGTCATAGTCATGTTCTGAGGCATTCTGTTAAGTATAATATGATCAATTAGAATAACAATGAAGATGAACAAGAATTATAGCAAGGTTATTGCCAATGCTAAATGTCAAAAAATTTGGTCAAAGTATATCTTGGAACTTAATAAAGAAAATGCTATACATGTGGTAATACAAATTTAGTAGACTTTGGCCCTTTCAACTTTTAGTATGGGGTTTTCAGCATTGTGAGTGATGCTAGGTCTAAAATCATTAGCTTGTAAGAGAAAAGATCTTCCTTCTAATTTGACTTAATGAATCATGTAGGCCTAAAACTTTGCTACTGCTTAATGAAGCTAGAATTTTGAGATTTTGTGCAATTGTTAGTTTGCCTCATTTTCACCTGGTGACAAGAGGTGAGTCATGTAAAGAGGCTCTCTTCTTAAAAGGGGTAAGTCGGAATCATACACTGAGCCATCCTTATTTAATAAAGTTGTAATATGTAACTCCAACATTTCAATGAGACATACATAACTGCAAGCTTTTTTATTTCTTAGATGATCTTTTTTCTTTTCTGCTTCAGTATCCTTGTCTATAGTTTGTGGCTTCATGATTTAGCGTTATGTTGACTCAAAAATCTGCTTACATCTAATAATGCCTGGCCTGTTAGTTATGTCGTTGCTGAAGAAAGAACTAACATATACCGAGATAATTGCATATGTTGACACAATCAATTAATTCTTCTCAGGATATGTTTCTCAAGCAATGAAGCTAGGAACACAAGTATTGCCTACATATCGGACTTTTTCCTTAGAAGAGTTGAAAGAAGCAACAAATAATTTTGAAGGTTCAGCATTTATAGGGGAGGGTTCAACTGGAAAGGTTCTTCTAATTTGGAAAATTTCAATTTTCAGATGTTTCTTTCAGTCATTTATGCATCATATACCACACATGTTCATCCAAATATTTATTATAACATAAGAACTGAGTGGATTTGAAAACAAAATTGATTGTAGTGTGTTTGTAGACTAGTACAGGCTTGTGTTGTCAAGATGAGAATGTCGAGATAGATGTATGGTGTTACTAAGAAAGATAGGAAAAGAAATACTTTTATTGTGAACAATTAGATATTATTTCGATAAAGGATAAGATAAGAGAAAATCATTTAAAAATATATGGATATGTACTTGGGAGACCTTTGGATATGATAATCAGAAGAGATAAAATGATTAATGTTAGTGGTACGAAAAAAAATAGAGGAAGACCCAAAAAGACTTTAATAAAATTTATAAATAGAGATTTAAGTACTCTGAATTTAATTAAACATATGAGTATTTACATATTTCAATGGTAGTAAAATATCCATGTAGCCAATCCCAAATAGTTAAGATTTACGGTTTTGCTTTCGTTATTGTTGTTGTTGTTGTTATAGAGTGACAATCACATTACCTTTAATTAAATGCTGATGCTTGGCTGTTACCTGTGCTATTAGTTTGATATTTTTGAGCTAGTGCCTTGTTGGTACAAGAGTTAGAAATACTCTTATAACTTCCAGTTCCTAATTTGTGAAAAAGTGAAACTCTAATTCTATAACAAAATCTGTTTAAAACAAATGCCAAAGTCAGAACCCTTGGACTGTAAAAAGTCAAATTCAAATGCCACTGCCTAATGGCACTTCAAATCATTTGAATTCTTGTTTATTTGATGTGGCATATCAACTCGTTCTGTCTAACACCAACGATCCAAATCAAGCATCGTGTTGAAGTTTATCTTTTGCTCGTTCGGGATGTTGGTGACAATAATCAATTGCCCCTCTAATTTCTTCATTAATTATAGGTGAATCAATCAGCCTAAGATTCATTTCGCTTCCTTTAACTACAATATTTTAACTGATCTTCATGCATGCTTATCCACACAAAGAAAATTTATTAGAGGAAGTGAATGAATTCCCTTCGAATCAAAATTAAATGGACGGCACAAGTAATCAATCTGGGGGCAGATCTGTCTTGTTCAATCAATATTCTACTGCTGTTTTGATAGATCTACTCTACTAACTGAGATTAGCATACAATAAGTTATTTTTTCAGCAATATAAGCTAGTTATTGACATGAACATTTGAATTTTGTTATATTGACTTGTAACTTGTTTCTAGTTACTAGTGTCATATGCATAACTTAGCCTCATACCAAAACTCTTATGCTTGGAAGAGTTCCATGGATGTAAATCACAGAAGATTAGAGATCGAATTCCTTGGTTGCCTGGATTTCTTGGTCATGCATTAGCCTTGTTCTTCAATTTTGCCTATGATTTTACAACAACAGTGTTGATACCCTGATTTATTTAGTTTCTCACATGGTAGATCCTTTTGTATGAATCATGGAATGAAGAGTGCTTACTCAAAGGTATATATCTAATAGTAAAAGTGTTTTTTGTCTACATCAAGAAGTGATTTTTTTAAATAAATGATTTAGGCACAAATTAGAAATACTATTTCTGGTCCAAGTTGTCACAGTATACATTCAATTTTTAGTTCTTGAGATAGATTTGGAAAACAAGTTATAGTTATGTGAGATTTGGTTTCTTCCATGTGCTAATCTTTCCTATTTCTTGGCAGTTCCACTTTGTATATTACTTTTCATACTGTAAGTTAATGTTTTTGACAATCTTTTCCTATTCTTTTTTCAGCTGTACAAGGGGAGACTAGATAATGGAACCTTTATAGCTATAAGATGCTTGTCATTGTTCAAGAGACATTCTATAAGAAATCTGAAGTTTCGTCTGGATTTGTTATCAAAACTTCGCCACCCCCATTTGGTCTGCCTCTTGGGGCATTGCATCGATACCACACAAGATGATTCTAGCATCAACAGAGTCTTCCTAATTTATGAATATGTAGCTAATGGAAATCTTCAAAGTCATCTTTCTGGTAATGGTTCTCCATGCAGTTTAAAGTTTTTCATCTATGCCCTGTAATTCCTAAAGGCTTTGGTTTTTGCCAGCAGAACGCAGTATGGAGAGGGCTCTTAAGTGGCCAGATAGGTTGGTGGTTTTGATAGGCATCGCTAAAGCAGTCCACTTTTTACATTCGGGAATTATTCCTGGTTTATACAATAATCAACTGAAAACCAAGAATATTTTGCTTGATGAGCACTTTATAGCGAAAGTGAGTGACTATGGGTTGTCCATTATCATGGAAGAAATTTACAAACATGAGGTCCGTATCGAGATTGACAGAATGAGAAATTATGTTTTGCTTGTGAGCCTATAATTTTATGGTATTTTGCATATTTGATGCATCGATGCTCATGAGAATTACCTTCCATCTGCAGGCAAGGGCGGAAGGTCAGAAACCTATTCAGAGCAAATCTCCTGAACTGTGAGTACTTCTCTCATACATCCATATCGGACAGCTAAATTCTGATTTCAGATTTGCATGTGAACCTACAATTAGCCCAATAAAAACATGTTACAAGGACGGAGGACCTTTCAACTTTGTAACTAGTAGAGGTTCTAAACTCTTTCTCTGCTCTGAACAATGAAGTCGAGTACACTCGTCATTTGATAAGGATTCTAACTTTTGGTTTGACATACTCCCACAGTAAGATTGATAAAAATTTGCATCAAACAGTTCCAGCAGTTACGAAGCAAATATGATTAAATTAATACTTCTGGTAATCTGACTGACACATTTGCCTTTGTAGGGAGATGGCAAATTTGGAGGATGATGTTTATTCATTGGGCTTTATCTTACTCGAGGCACTCATGGGACCATCAGTGTCTGAACAAGGTTCCGAACATTGTTTAAAAGAATTGGTAAGCTCAACCCTTTTCGGATTCTATCTCTAATAATAAATGAACTTAGCCTGATAGACCACCTCCAAAATGAAACCTACACACTTGTATGCAGTATCTTACTGGACTAGGTACGTACCTGTGGCTGTAGTGATTTTTAAGGTGACCCTTTAGAGGAGTTGATGGCAATGAGAAATCATGTCTAGTTCTTTAGGTGAGGATTGAAAGAAAATGAACCTGTACAATACCATTAGAAAATGTTTACCATTATCGATGATCTGTCACATGCATGAAATCCATTCCCATGGGTACCTCCTTATATGGGCAGTGTGCATCGGTCGCCATGTCATGCCAATGATCACCTGGTCTCACCTGGTTTATTGCAGATCATCCAATGGCTTTTTCTGCACTGCTGCTGCATTATGATGACCCAAATCTAATTGACATCATCTGCATGGCACGTCTATGCTCCTTAATGATTCTTTTACTAATTTCTTTATTACCAGGAATTTTTGTTCTTTTCATAGTTGAGAAATGAAGTCTATGAGCATTGAGGTACAAACATATGTTACTTCTTATCTTTCATGGAGCTCCAATTAGGCCATGATAGTCTTGTCTTCGATTTTCCATAAGCAAAGACTTGGGAGTTTCAGCCTTGATTAAGTGCTAGATAGTATATACATTTTTTTTTTGTTACACTTTTTACGAACTTCTATTAATTCGTCAAAAGTTTCAAAGTTCAAACCTAAAAATCAACATGTTGCTTTTATAGGATTTAAATGATATGTTGTAACCCATTTCAGAATGACTCGGAATAGGTTTGATGGCATTAGTCTTGCGGCCTGAATCTAGTGTATATGCTCATAGTTTGTTTTGAAGTCTGCTCATTCTAAACTCGATACGTAATCCCTGATATAAAATCGTACTGAAAAGCTTCTGGAGTTGCAGCTCATGCTGAGGTGATTGTTCTAACAAAAGACTTAGTTGTACTGATTATTAGGCTGCAAGGAAAATTGCTACTAGAAACCTCCAAGAAGCCCAGGTTTAGCTTGCCTTGACCTAGTGAACACATGGATTACTCATAATAAAAGCTTATTAAATTGATTTCACATGCTAATCTGATTCCAAAACTTATGATATTATAACATGTAATTGCTTCAGCCAGGTTGGTATTTATCTTCATGTGGACGGATAGAAGCTAAATTTATTTCCATGGAAGAACGTCACTCAGAACTTTGTTTCTTGTTTGCAGGCTATGTTAGTCACTAGGCAAACAGAGCAAACACGCATTCTTGATCCAGTCGTACTAGCTTCTGCATCACAGGACTCCCTATCGATTGTGATCTCCATAACAAGTAAATGCTTGTATGAGGAATCGTCTCGCCCTTCGGTCGAAGACGTGCTGTGGAACTTACAGTATGCTGAGCAAGTACAAGCTACGGCAGACGGTGATCGGAAGTCCGACATCGTATCACAAGCATGATCCTGATTTGGAGTTTCCTATAGCATGGATCACAGAGATTAAATTCAATGTGGCCCTTTGCCGCTACTTCAGTGCAGAGATTCAAGTGAACAAGGTTTCTAGGCTTGGAGAAATGTTATCCAAGATGCTGTAACAACAGAGAGGTTCCGAAAAGAGCAGTCCCTGTTTTGCGTATTCCATTTTCATATTCTCCACGATCCCATTGCTACGATTACTTTGTGCATCTAATCACTCCATCTGTAATTAATTGTCTTCTATCCATTGACTTCAGAGCAGAGTTTTGTGTTCTTGCTGTTGGGATATCCATATTTACCAGAATCTGTTCATGCTTGAACTGCCAAGCAAATGCAATCACTTGCTGGTGAAAATATTTGTTTCAGTTCGCAAGCTCAATTTGCCTCTCGCCTTTATCACTGATAGTCCAGTGCTGTCAGATGTCAACTATCATGTATTTACTTCAGACCAATTACTGCACTTGTAGAATGGATTCCATTTATATGACATGCAGAGGAATGCGTACTTCTTCCCTTCCATGCTGCTATTGCTCAGTTCTACACAGTTTATCTTCGTCTAATATTTATTTGCCATTACCTTAAGGCGGAAACATCCAGTTCTGAGTGTCAGTTTCCGGTTAATACATGCCGATCTGACTGGTCTCTTAACACTGGCTTCAGGTTGTGGTCGTCGCAGATTCTGATTCTTTCTCAGGATGTTCATTACTAGGATGGGATATTCTGCAAAAAATGAGATTCCAGGAACTAGAGAGAGATGTATTTGGAAAAACAAGCAAACTGGGCTACACAGTGCAGATCACAAAACAAAGCAAATATTAAAGATTTCAGCACTGTTTATGAATAGATCCAAATTAGAAGAAATGGGAGGACAAATCAGAAGATATCCAGAAGCCATCCAAGATTCTTGTCTGGTTGCCTTAATAAATTTAGAACTTGTGTAGTTCATGAGTAAACTTAAAAAACCAGCTCAGAGAAAAAGTATTGAATACTTACACTTACTACACAGCAGTCATGGAGCATTCATGTCAAATCAAAGTGCACATTAATAGTCAAAAAGTATGTTCATAAATATATGTAACAACAGTCTGACATAATTTTATTCTCAGGAAACATACAGCATGAAGATAAAACATGAAACATGACTTTCCATTAAAACATGGACTATTCTAAAACTGGTGCCATGTGCATTTCAATTTTTCAACTGCATGCTTTAATACTATTGTCTTATTTGTTGGGAATATCTCTTGCACTCAGTTTTGGATCACATTCCAGCATAATTTTTCAAGTTTAATATATAAGAACCATAACAAACATTTTTAGGCAGCAGTATGAAACAACAATGGCATGTCCATGACCTAACATAGTTTCAATGATTATGTTGCAATACAAATATCAGTATTTTTTTTGGCTTTCTAGGTTAATCAAGCTATGCTAAAAAGCAGCAGAACCACAAGCCTCATTCAACAATAATGTCTGCGGAAGGGAACGTCCTACAGGTCACATATTCATGGAGCTTTGTGGTATATGGAACCATGCAAGTCCTGGCTGACTGCATTGCCTTGATTCTGGAATTGGAACAATAGGACCAAGAAATATACGCCATAAATCAAGTATTATAGTTACAAGCATTGCCGCACCCAGTGCATCAACAGCCACTCTTGGAAGGTCCCATGGTTCATCCTCTTTCTCATCTACCCTGAGAACCATAAAAATGTACGAGATAGGTTAGACACAGCCAATATAAGCTATCATGCATGATACACTGTATACTTTATCACTGACAAATGGTAACTTGTTGTCAAGATTATGTTGCCTTGTCATTGATGAACCAAAGGGAAGTCTTAGATTTGGCAATGGCAAAGTAATTATTGTCAAGAAAGAATGATAATATATTCCATTGAAAACAGATTTCACTGATACAAAAGAGAAGCTGTCTGGTCAAATTCAGATATTATCCATAAGATTCAATGCAGTTAGGTGCATGGATTAAGTTAAGCATATTTCACATCCAGATCACAAAAAATAATCAAATTAATGAATATTCCCAAATTACCTTACCTTAAAAACATAGGGAAGCTCACGATGAAATAGATTGCATAGAACAATGATCCTACTTTGTACATTGATTCCCGATTGACAAACTCATAATATGGGAACTGCAAGTTTTCAGAGTATACACAAATATCATACAAAGTTATATTTATATGAGCAATGAAGTAAATGACCACAAGTTATTTAAGTGTCCTTCTTGATGCAACAAAAGGGAAAAGAAGGAAAAAAAAGCAGATTGTATTTCAGTTTGAACTTTGAAGAACATTGACATTTTAGCTCAAGCTACACTAGCAGCTAAAATTTTAACTAATGATTCACCTATAGACATAGCTTTATGAATAACATAATCATTATTTAAGAAATTACTGCATAAGGTACAAGTACAACAACGTAGAAACATATTTTCAGTGAATAAAGAAATAAATTTACTACTTATTGAGAAAATTGAACAACTAAACTAAATAAGAAAATTCTCAAAGAAGAAGGCAAGCGAGTCAATTATAAATATCATCCTATGACTCTAACCATAAACCAACTAAGAGAAGTTTCCAGGACTTCATATAGATGAAAAGTGATAAGGTGGGAAAAATGAAAGCATGTATTCACAACCAAGAGCACTTGTGCTTCCTTTTGACAATCTGCTTGACATTATAGCCAACTTGCATTCTGAAACAAAAGCATTAAGCTCATATATACATTTAATATGTTTTAAAAAATGCTAGGTGCCAAAAGGCGCCAAGGTCCCAAAATACCCGAAGCACTAGTCGATCGCCCGAACGAAACGAGACGCTATGAAATATTAACATATAAAAAATATATAATACAATTGATCAATATAATTGTATAAATAAAAATATGGCATTAAATTGAATTATTAAGATCTTTAGGATCCTTTAAATGATTGCATTTCCAAGCAGGATCCTTTATAGAAATTTTTGATGAATATTCTGAATTGCTTTATACACTTGTCATTAATCCTAAAACCCTAATAACAGTTCTAAATAAATAGAGATTAACAATCTAAATAGGGACTATTATATGGTAACAGTAGTTAATACTTAGTTGTAATTTTAATATCAAGAATTAACAATCTACTATTAACAGTATTTAATCCACTACTAATAGTAGTTAAGAGGGGGGAGAAAAGAGACACTAATGGTGGAACATGGGGAAGGAGAGGGCAACGGTTATGGAGGAACTTTTGAATAACGACAGCGATGACGGAGGAAATTATGGACGATAATAGTAGTGACGGAGGAAGCTTTATATGGGTGGTGCAGGAAACTATGGTCCTATCCCTCGATGGTCGAAGGAGCTGCACATGGAAGCAACAGCGACAGAGGAAACTGTGCATGAAACTTCGAACCTATCCGTTGATGGTAGAGGAAGCGTCGGACTTGTGCGTTGGCGACGACTACGCACAAAAGCAGCGGAGGGTGCAGAGGTAAGTCGGAGCAACGAAGTAGGGTTTATGAGTCGAGGTCACACGGGGGGATTTACTATTTTGCTTAGTTGGTTCAATCAAACCAACTAAGGTATTGTTCAATCGAACTAGAGTTGATCATCTGGTTCGGTTGTTTTGCTTCAATCGAGTACTCGCCCGAGGCGCCTAACGCCTGGGTTCAGGCAATGCTTCACTGAAGCGTGTTGCTCAACTATTGTGCGAGGTGCTCGGGCCTCACCTTGCCTTCGGCGAGCGCTTGGGCACATTTCTAAATCACTGTGTAACATCAGGCAATGCAATGAATTCATCGAAAAAAAGAGAAAACACAAGAAAAAGAGTAGTCATGTGGCTAAATATATTCTTGAAAGATAAGTTTGGCTTAAAGCACCATGTTTAGCAGAAATTACATCAGTTTAACAATTTTTTATTATGCAAATAGACAATTTGTAATTGGCCAAAATGTTACTTGATTAATAACTAAAATTTAAAATTACTTGATCATAAGAAATTATCAAAGACAAACACTCTAGCTGTAAGATTTGTGAGAACTAGCCTCCATGTGTAACAAGAAATAGACAACGTAGAAGATGGCACAAAATCATCAAAAATTAATGATATAAGTGTGCAATGCGTACATTTGAAATAGCTAAAGTCTCCAAGTAAGCTATGAAATAAGAAAGAGCCAAAATCCATGCAGCTTCACTGGCCAGTCGAATTGACTGTGGAAAATCAGCAATGACATGGCGCAGCCTACGCAGTGTTATATTAGATGTCATATGGTAAAACAGGAAACAAGAATGAGTGAGAAAGAAAGTTGTATGTGGGACCTGTCACATAAGATCAGATGGTCAATTTCAGACAGTAAGAATTGTTTTTCCTGAAAACTAAATGCTAAAAGATTATTCAAGATAGCATATTAAATGGTATAAAGATATGGTTCTGCAGATTAAGTCACAACAGTGTCAGAAGTCTAACATAGTAAAAATGTAATGTGATACCGATGACAAAAATACATAAAAAGTATATTTTAACTTGTTGTGTATGCCTGACATGAATGCAATAGTCAATACCATCTGTTGCAATTGCTTGTATATCCTATGTATAATACAAGGTCAATATCTGCAACTTCGAGGACTTTTGGTGTTTTCTGCAGTTTTTTCAAGTAATATTGGTTTTGAGATTTCTCCATTAAACTTTATGTTTCCAGTATCATAAATAGCAGATGTCTCAAATCAAGTTACAAAAGAACATGCAAGTATGTGCATACATAAATATATACATATACATATAGTTGCCACTTGCCAAGGAACTAATCCCTAAACCTCCCTTTACATATATTCTCTTCTAAGAAAGCACAAGGGAGCAACAATTTAAATCATGGATTTTAGGTACCATATCTGTGTGCATATGTGAATAGAGAGGGCATGTGTCACCTTATCTTATATGAACTGGCACTTTACTACTTGAATAAATTTTCATAGTATATTCATTGCTGACATGATATCCTGACTGAACAAAAGGCACTATTTTGATGTTAAAAAAAACCATCTGGATGTTCTAGTTCTCGACCTTACCAAACATGTATCAGTAGGTACAACCGTTTAGTAAACACTAGTTTGTCATTAGATTTTGAAGATCAGAGAAACTTGTGGAGAGTCCAGCATAAAAAGTCTGAGAGAAAATAATACACAAGAACAAGTATTTTGGGGCGAGAGTTGTCAAAGTCAACTTATTTTAGGCATGTGATTTCTTTCTGCAGGAATATTAGTGTTCCTTAATGCTCACGTCAGTGGAATCAGTAGATATTAATGGAAGATTGGAATTAAGTCAAGATAGGAAATTAGACAAATTTTGCAAGATGCAAATGAATTTGATCGCAATTCTAATTCAGCACCTCCATGAGTTATCTATAAAAGAAAATCCTATATATTTATCTTATATTCATACTAAGGTTTCGCTCCATGGAAGTTGGCCTTGTCACAAGCATAGATGAAAAAGGAAATGACTCGTAAGAAAATGTAAAAGCACCATACTTGTCCCCAAGAGAACACAAAATTGATGTCTTATATAAGGCATAAATTTAGAAGACTAGAAAGGGATGGCCACTGCATTTTTCTGAAAATTAAAACAAATATATAGAGGAAGCATGAAAGAACATATAATACAACAAAAAGTAGATGCATGTGTAGCTATAATATACTTCACAGGAGGTTTATGGTAAAAAAGATTTTAAACCAAGGAATGCAAAACTGTCCAGACCACTACAGGTGTGAATCAGGGACCACCCCTTTCCGGTGGTCCAGTTGGGTTTATATATAAATATATAAATAAATAAATAAATATATATATATATATATATATATATATATGTGTGTGTGTGTGTGTGTGTGTGTGTGTATATATATATGTGTGTATATATGTGTGTATATGTATATGTATGTATATGTGTGTATATGTATATGTATATATATGTATATATATATATGTATATGTATATATATATATATATATTATAAACATGATACTCAAGAGCCACACACTGCACCGTAGGCCCACCATCCACCCAAGGTCTTGTGCATGCCCATGTATCAAAATGGTACCATGGTACAGACCCATGTATCGTGTGTCTATACGCCGTCATGGACACTACCCACCGGTCCAGTATCCTAAATTGCATTGCTTGTCTCAAATTTATGCATCAAACTCTTCGAGTTAAAAAAAAACTTTGATATTAGATACATAACTCATTGAGGTCCAAAGTTGAACTCTCTTACAAAATTATATACTAATAGATGCAAGCCAAACAGAAATTATAAGGAAAAAGACAAAATTAGCACCATTAAGTCTAGTTTGTTACATTGTTCATTCTCCATGAAGGAAAAGTGTATGACGCTCCAAGTACCGTGAAGAAATAATGAGTCCAGAAGTAATTCCCAACATAACTAAAAATTATAATCCACAGATTTGCCTGCAGCAACAAGATGAGAAGATCTCACATGATGTTAAAAAAAAGCAAGGATTGTGGTACAAGTCCCTGAAACAAGTTGAACTTACCAAAAACTAGAAAGTGGTTATATAAAAAATGGCAATATTGATAGAAAACATTTTACTGTTTTTAGTAATGCATAGATCCGTTATTTTTGTTAATGCTTCTCTGCTACTGATTTCTGCTGAATAAGAAACAGAACACTCCAATCATGAGAGGATATTCACAATTGCATCAGAAGACCATAAGCTTCAAATATTTATCATAATGTATCTGTATGAGACAATAATTGTATAAACCATCATAAATGCAGAATCCATAAAATGAGTAAATCAATTTAAAAAGAAAGCAAAATCATACAAGTTGACTATGGTTATCATTACTCTGTGATGATATCATCAGAACTACATAGATCATGGAAGTTTCACCAAGTGATTTTAGTTTTCCATTATTCCTAAACTGATAAATCTGTACACAACAATTTATCACTGCAACAGAGTCACTTGCATCTTCATGCCTAGGAAAACCATCATGTAAACGGATCGCAACTCTTACAACATGACTGAGAGACAAATCTAAGTCAACGTATGCACTTAAACAATAAAAAAAATTACTAGAGTTCCACAAAAAGAAAATACCTTCACCCAGTATCGATCTCTCCAGCATTTGCAACTGTCTGCCTGCAACAGTGAATGGATACTGCCTTTAATATGAGTTACATATACTTAGTGTATTCAGTATCAAAGCTTCTTTGAATTGTGAATTATGAGTAGACAGAAAATTTGTACAACCAAGAATGTAAGTGGTACATCAGTAGACATGTACTGGGAAACTCTTATCTGTTCCCCGGTTTAAGTACTTATTTTTCTCTGTCTTTAGTGAATCAGTTAAAAAAAGACTTTATGTTTTCTATTTCTAAACATTTTCTCCATTGTTAGTTTGTCTTTGGTTGTTGTTCTTCAAATATGCAGTCAAAAAATGAATGATGTGAAAAGCTTATTTACATAACTAATGATCACTAACCATGTTCGAAGGCATTTAAAAGAGAGATTTATATCTTGAGTATATTTGCATCAATAGCATGCTTTAAAGTAGTAAAGCGAGACTAAAGGCGATAGACTTCAAAAAAAAAACTTCAACCACATGTAAAGACAGTATTGGTCTTAACATTCACATGATCACATAAAAGAGTACGCTTTTAAAGCAGTGAAATAAAAGAACATTGTGCAAGATACAAGCAACATATCCATTGTAGTTCCAATACAATGTGTAGATACCTATAGATTAAATAATGCAAAGAAATAAAATAGTTGATTGCCCCATAACATTACAAATCCAAGAGACTAAGCAAAGTTCAACTGTCATCTAGTTGAAGGCAGAATAACCACTCACAAGAACCAGAACCTACAATCATTAACAAAGCCGATGGAGACTAATGCCATGAAAAAGACTGAGATAGCCAAATGGTACTGTTCTCAAACAATTACACCAGCAAGAAATGTTTATAATGCAAGAGTCAGGATCTGAAAGTGCGCACCTTCCCCATGATCAGGAGGGGTATCAAGAAAGCTGGGACAGAAGAAACCAACCCGATGATCAGATACTCCAATTCTGTGAATCTCTGTCATTTATGATGATCAAATTACAACCTCTCATGATGTCTTCATCACCAGCATTACATCAAATTATATAACAATCATATAATAAAGAAGGAATAGTTCCTCGCTCAACAAGTTAACCCACCGTCCATTTATTTCCTCTCAAATTATACCCCACCGCACATTTCAATCTGGTGACCAGAAGTGTAGATATATCGATACATTTGGGGGAAAAAATGGTGAAATGACTAGATACATTCATTAGCTTCAGAAAAAAGTTTACTTTTTTTAATGGATATATCGATTTAATGGATCAAAAACCTCAATGGACCACAAAAAAGGTCATCAGTAAAAAAAAAAAGACGTAAAAAGGTTCGAACTTTATCTCAAACCCTCCCGAGAAAAAGCAGTAATAGATCCCAAATCGAACCCAAGCAAGGTGCGAAAAGGAACCCCAAAGTGAAAAGACAAAGGTTCAGACCTCGTAAAGCCTGTAGGGGACTATGATCCCGAGGCAGAGGGTGAGCCAAAAGGGCGTGTAGAGCAAGAAGAACACCTCCCCCCACCTCTTGCTCGGATTCGACGCGAACCACAAGCTCTCAGAGCTGTCCGCTGCCATCCCACCGCCGAAGCCTGCAACAACGTCGGCGGAGACCGTGAGAAAATAGAAAAAAGCCGAGTGACGCAGGACGCGTGGCGCGCTTACCGCTCCCGTTCTCTCGTCGCGCGGTCGCAATGTAAAGCGAGGAGCGCACGCCTCCGCTCGTTCCGCCTTCACACATCCAGCGCTGCCTCCAAATTTATTGGAACGAGGCGGCCGCGGGAGGGTCCGGTAAGGTTACCGGAGTCGAGTGTGATACCAACCACACGTATGTAATATGGGCAGTGCTGAGCTGTATGATCCTTCCGCAAAGGCGTCCTAATCAAAGCAAACTTATTGCAGCTGCATGTAATAAATCATTCAGTGCAAATCATGGGTTATGATGCAAACCGCACAGGAGAAATAAAGTCCTGTCACTCTGCGATTCACAAGTTGGGTTCAACGACTTTGGAGAAATCACAAGGATTTTATTTCGATGTGCCCTTTCACCTGTTCTCATGCTGGAGGTCTTCTTTCAACTGCGGAGGAACAATGTCGACTGCCCCAACCATAAATAGCTGGGTTGAGAAATTTTCCAGAGGTCCTCAACGACGATCAACCGTAATGGTGTCACCCTCGATACGTTTCTTTCCACCATTGTTCGCCAGGGAAATTTTCGAATTGATGATTTTATATTACAAGAATGATAAGCTCCTGAATGTACTACCTTGTCCATGTTAGAGGCACAAGCTCCTGCAACTTCTCACTAATTCTTGTTCTCCTTTCCTAGGAAAGAGAAAAATTAAAATAAAATTAAACCTGGAATGTATTTGAGATCTAATTAACACAGGAAAAGTCTCTTCTCTCGCAAGAATAATACTCTGTATTTTGACCCTTTTAAACCGGTTGGTGAACTTTTGCACCGTGGTTGAGGAGTTAGCACTTTTCAGTCATGTTAAGATCGTCCGTGTGAATACTCAGGCAGCGGAAATCGTTGTCCGGTTGGGTCGAGCTCGAACCCCACTTCCAGAATACGGAGGTGCCCCTTTGATTAGTCGCCTCCTTATCACCTGACTCCTGCACACAGGTTGGGGTCGGGAGGAGGATTTCCCGACTCGACTCCTCTAAAGACTTAGTTGGAACTGGGTGAAAACGAGGAAATCCCCATCAGCGCTGACTCGGAGATGGGTTTTTATACCTTATGCATGGGGACCAACCTTACCTAACACATTTATGGTCGTCGACCTATTAAGCGGCAAACTCACTTCTCGTGCGGGCATCTTTTGTACCACGGCGCCAAACAGCGGTGTCACACTCGATCGGCATCGTCCCGATTCGGCGGGGCGACGTTGTACTCGATCAGCGTCATCTCGATCTTTATGAGGCGGCTTCGTACCCGATCAACACTGTCCTGATCTTTGTGGGACGACATCGTACCCTATTGATGTCATCCCGATCTTTACGAGGCGGCATCATACTCGGTCGGTGTCGGCCCAATCTTTGCGAGGGCGACATCGTACTCGAGGGGCGTGGTGCCGACGCGGTCCGTCATGTTGACTTTGATGCTCCTAATTGGCACTGATGTGATTGTGAGCAGTTGTTAGAGGGTATGTTACCAAACTGTGCTTTATCAAAATCATACACTAGTTGATACGGGACCATTTAGTCGGTTAATAATTGGTGTGATGTATAGTCTCGTGAAGAATTATATGTTTTGAGCAATGAGCGTACCAGTATGATTTTGCCCTTTTGAGTAAGCTTCAAAAAATATCATTAAGAATAAGAGAGACCCAACGAACTTATGAGTCTTTGGTTTCATACTCCTCGATCAATACGAGACTAAATGACCTAGTGAAAGTCTTGTGCGCTAGACATCCCTTTTAACTAATATCTAAGAAACTGGAATAAGATTGGCATGAAGTATTGCAGTCATCTAAATATACGTGCAACGTATCGATTCTATGAATCAAATAATACCTTGCAGTGGGATCTAACCGCAAAACTACCTAAGCTAACTAGCACAATCAATGTCTCCATATTTATTTCTAATCAGCAGATGCAAATTTGAACACGGACATTGACAGGATATTAAATTTAAAAGATACTCATCTAAATGAAGAATTATATTATCTAATCATCATTTTTTCTTCTATGGAGTTGAAGGTAGGAACCAAGAATTATTTATTTATTATTTAATTGTATCAATGAAAATTCTTAAATTATGAAATATATTAATCCCTTTTGTTAAGAATTTTCTGGTTACTGTGTTTATAATTAATTTTCAATATGAAGAAAGAAGCACAGTTATAATTCTTCAAATATTAATTAATTACATAGCAATTGGGCCATAAAATCACTATTTTGCCCTCTATCCAAATGTGTGAAAATCTAGTTTGCCACGTTGGCATCAAGTCAACGTCACGTGGATTTGATAATTACTGGACATGTGGAAGCCACGTTAGCGTTGTCGAGGAGAATGTATAATATTACCCCCAAGAAAGCGACAAGCAGGTGATCAATCATCCCCCACAAGACACTGATACGGAGGAAAATATGATCGATCAATCTCGGAGACAATAGTCCATGCGAAGTCTTTGGATCGATCCGATCGATCTTCATAAACAGTAATCTATGGGCGATTGATCAGGTTTACCCCCTTTCGATCAATCTTCGTGGGTAAAACACAAGAGGAAATATGTTAGGTCATCAAAAGCTTATCAGCCCCGTGAATGAAACATTAGAGGGAAGGCGTTATAATCTATACAATTAATTCCTTCGATCGAATATGTATAAAAGTCAATCCTCATTAGTTTAGGGGGTTGAATCTTTTTACAACTAATCCTTTTACTTTATAAAACCATCCTAAAGCTAACTTAAGCATCGGATGGGTTGCGGGTGGCTATTGTGGTTTTGATTGGTAAGAATAATGCGGGGATGTCCTTAGAGAAGTGTCGGGTGTGTTGAATCTCGAATTTTGATGATGAAACCAATTGATAGTATTTATGATTTGATCTGCATTTTGAGTGACACAGGAATCTTCGATCAAGGAAAGACAATTAAAAGCAGGAAGAATCATGTTGAGCCGAAATAGAACATATTAGAAGATTAGACATCGAGTCAGAGGATCGGTCGATGTATCAACAGAAGGCTTCGAGTCATGGGTTCGGGCATCGAGCCAAGAAGAGCAAAAATTGCATCGAGGAAATCGGAGTTACAGAGGTCAACTAGCCGATTGGGCAATAGGCCACAAGAGAGGACGATGCGCCGAAGAATCGGACGAAGCGTCGATGAACTAATAACATGCCGGACAACATTTGATTCAAGTTTTGTAATAATTATCTAGATCGAAATATATTTTAAGTGTGCAAGATTAACTACGATAGTGATCAAGGCATAAAGCAAAATAAAGTCCCAGAGTCAAGAACGAGATTTAGTTGGGAGTTCGAGAGTTCATCGGAAGTCCAAACGTTCATCGAAAAAGTTCTACCGGAATTGACCAAGAAGAGGACGATGTAAATGTTAACACTCGACATCTCCATCGATGTCAATGCAAATGCAAAACAATAAAAGAGGGAAAAAGGATAAGGGATCGGGGAAGGGGGAAGGGGGAAAGAAAGTTAAGTGTCACCCTACATTTGCATCGGTGCAAATGCAGATACAGAGTGCCAAAAAGGGAAAGAAGGACAAGGGATCGAGAAAGGAGGGAAGAATGATTAGCAACACCCTACATCTGCATCGATGCTGATGCAAATGCAGATGTCAAGCAACAGCAGATGTAAAGCGTTGCTTGACATCTACATTAGCACTAATGCATATACAAATGAGAGAATCACTTGACATTTGTAATGGTGCCAATGTAAATGCAAGGTGGCATTGTTTTGCATCTACGTAAATGCATGATGGTGCTCACCCTTTTTCCCCTATTCCTTGATCCCACATCCTTCTTTCTCCTTTTATCTCTCTTCATCTGCATCGATGCTGACGTAGAAGCAAAGCATCATGCCTTTGTAGCGTCTTCTTTTTCCTCTCCCTTTGTCTCACCTCTCACCATTGCTCTCCCTTCTCCTCGTTCTTCCCCCTTTTTCGATCACTCATCTTTCTTTCCCCTTTCACTGCTCTACATTTGTGTTGACGTCGATGTAAATGCTGAGCGATCCTTTCACTGCTCTGCGGTTGTATTGGCGCTAACGCAGAGCGTCATCCTCTTCCTCCTCTCATTTTGCCTCACCTCTTGTCATTGCTCTCCTTCTTCCTCCTCCCCTCGCAAGAAGCTATAAAATCTCTTAACTATGCCTCCAAGATTCCACCATGTTCGTCTCAAAAAGGATATCCTTATATTGTTCTCACCGATCATTATATCATTCTCATCGACCACAATCATAATAATCATGATCACCCGTAGCCCCAACAACACCATTATTTATCGTCACCATAATAGTCTATTACGAAGAAAAAAAAAAAGGATATTAAAATTATTTTTTTATTTTTCGTTTCTGTATTATTTTTATATGTGATATATCTTCCGTCGATTAAATCGACGGGGGTAAATGGAATCAAAATATTTTATTTTCATAATTATATAAAAATTTTAAGTCTGAGTTCTAACGAATTATCCTAAGTTCCCACCTTTACCTTTCCTTCCTCCCCTATTTCCACCGATTCTTTCGCCGTTTCCTCTATCGGATCGATCAAGATTCTCTTGTTTCTAATTATCCGGTCAGTTGTTACTGCCCTTCAATCTTGATTCCTCAGAAGCACGGGGAGAAATCTTGATCTTTTGAGCCGGATTCGTTCATCCTGTCTCCGATTTGATTTGGTTGTCAAAAAAGCTTACTTCTTGATCGATCCGCTGCAGCTTTAATCCTTCTTGACTACTGATATTTCCTTTCCTTTTTTTCTTGTTGGAAAAATCGTTCCTTTTTGGGTTTGAGCTTGAATTTTGTTTGATTTCTTTTAAATACGTCCTGAAACCCCCCTTTTTTTTCCCACCCATCATTCCGATTCGAGTCTTCGAAGATCCATCTTTTATCGATCTATGAAACTTAATTCTTAGTTAATAATCCTGTTCGGCTTCAATCTCCTCGATTTGCTTGTGTTCGCATCTCTTCCACGGCATCAAATGGCTCGAGAAAGCTGTAATCTTGACAAAGACGAAGCCGAAATCCTCAAACCTTCCTCCCCTTCTCCGTCGACCCCTGCTCCTCCATCATCGTCCCCTGTACCGCCGTCCCTGTTCTTGAAACCCTGTGAGGAATCGCTGAACCTGAGAGCGGAGACTCCGGCTACAGAGACCGCCGTCGCGGCATCTACCACGCCCAAGACCGACAAGGAGTCGAAGCCTGAGGAGGAATCCAAACCGCAGGTACGATTCAGCAATAGGTGCTCCACTTGCGGGAGAAAGGTGGGGCTGACCGGATTCCGGTGTCGATGCGGGGATCTCTTTTGCGGTCGCCACCGGTATTCCGACGTCCATGATTGCTCATTCGATTACAAGGCGTTGGGGAGGGAGGAGATTGCTAAGGCTAATCCTGTGGTCAAAGCTGCCAAGATTATCAAGATCTAGGGTATAAAGCTTTCGCCTTTCCATGCTTCTTGTCATTTTACATCTTCAATTGCACCCATCCTTGATCTGTTTGGTGGCGTTGATATAAGTTGAATACAGGTTGAATCTTTTTATCCAAGAGATTATTTCAGATAATTAATTTGTTCTCTTTGATCTTGAGATTAAAAAAAAAAAGATAATACTGGAATGCGGATTTAACTTTTGTATTCCTGCAAGTAGTTTTACCTTCCAAGCGATCCCAATTCTCATCAATTTGTGCATTAGCTTTCATTTGTGGTGGTTCACCAGTGTGATCTCTAGATGGATGCCTATGATAGAATCAGTATTTCAATAATTTCTTCTGTGGTAGAAAATATAATTTTTGATGGATGTCTTCAGCTATTGCTTAGCTTATGAATTAGGTGCCTAAAGTAAAACCTTTTTGAACTAATTTTGTATCTATTTGATTGCATATTTCATAGTTGTGTTGTTTGTAGTTTATGAACTCATGTTTGAAACAAAATCTTCGAAGCTAATTCTGTTAATATTTGCTTATATACATTGTAATCGTCGAATCTACCTGTATAGGTTCTATCTAGATATGGCTTTGGATTACCTGTAACTTATGTGCTAGATGTTCCGAGCAGAAGCTTAATAGCATGGTTACTATCAGAAGAGTTCATATGGATTCTCTCCAGGTGATGAAAACTATAGCATTAGAAGGGATCACTGCTTACCTTTTGTTTTCTTGAGAAAATGCAGGTTTCTTATTCACATTTTTGAACAAGACATATATCCTTGCAACATTTGATGCTTATCTATCAAACATGAGTTGGAATGTAGTGCATCGACATCATCTATTTCATTTTGGGAAATTCACACAATTGTATGGAATATGAGTTTTAAGGCTTCATTTCCCTTCTTATGATGTTTGCTGTGATTATTGTTCCTCATGGTTGATGCATGGTTGAATGATCTAGCAGTGTTTGTGTTTGTGTTTGTCCTGAAGTAATCAAGCAAGTTGCTCCCAGATACCATCCGGCAGTCTGTTTTAGTGGCCTAGCATGAAAATTATTCTCAATTCTCAAGATGCTTGTCAATGACTAACACCTATTGTTTCCAATTCTGTTTCATCTCACAAGTAGATTCAGGGCAAGCTGCTCACAAATTTTATTCTGTTTTAATTACACAGTATGGTGAATTATAGTAGTTGTTTTCACATAAAAATGCCTAATAATCTGTTTTTTTTTTCTCTTATGACCAGTGTCACCATTTAAGATGCTTTCCATGGACAACCTTTACTGGTATAGTCGGCTGGTATTCGTCCCCTTTTCCAAGGAAGAATGGCTGTATTCCAAGCTTCAACTGATGAGGCCAATGTTCTTGTAGCGTGGGTTAACATTTGTGTGTGAAGACAAGCCTGGAAATGAAAGCCAGTGGCCTTGTTATTGACAGCATCATCCTCTCTTTATGCAGTCTAATTTGGAGGCTGGTGGGGTTTCAGAAATCTAATCAAGTGGCCAAAAAAGCAGTATTCTCATCGGCCAAGGATAAGCCAAAGACAACATTATTTGTCCTTGAGTTCCTCACATGGTGGGTGGGTCTGAATCTATTGTGCTTGTGTTGAGGAAAGTCAAGGGATATCACAGGAACTTAATTGGCTAGAAATTTTTTGTTATTAATTTAGTAGGCCATATTGTATTCTTGAAATTATTGGCTTCAACCCTTTGATTCTCTTCCCATTCAACAAAGTCGAGAACAAGCAAGTCATCCGATAGGAACATAGGAACTGAGGAGGGGAAAGCATATGCTACTGGTCATGATGTGTGACATGAGCTAAGAAGCAGTAGTACAAGACGAAGCCTCAAATTCGGTATTCAGAGATTTTTGAGGGATCGTTTATTTATTCTACTAGGAGGCATCACCGGATTCATTGTCATGTGTTGATCGATCACAGGACCATGGCCTTTCCGGAAGGGCCGGACTCGAGTTTGCCTTCGCCGGCCGCGGCGCTTGTCCAGGGGAAGGGAACGAACCTGACCGTGTCGCCGCAGTTGCTCCTCTTGGTGACAGGACAGTCGATGATGGAGCTGCCGTCGGCGGCGATACAGATGTGAATCTTGTAGAGCTGCGACTCGAAGAACCACAGCGTGTTGACGTTGCACTCCACCCAAGTGGAGGCCCCGAAGTGGGACGCCAGCACGCCCTTGATGGTCTCCAAGCCGTAGAGCTTGCTCTTCGTCGGCACGATTCCTTGGGAGAGAGAAGGCCGGTGTCAGTCACTGATCCATCTTCTAAACATGTGCAGGCGAGGGGGGTCGACGACGTTACCGTAGGAACTGAAGAGGGAGAGGAGGTCCACCTCGGCCCGGAGCTCAAGCGCGCGGGTGAAGTAGTTCACCTGGGTGAGGCTGGAGCAGGTGCCGTAGGTGCACCAGGCGCTCTGCCACTGGTTGACCCCGTCGTTGCTGGGGCAGCTCACGTCGCTCCAGTAGTCGTGCAGCGTCGGGAGGAGGTCGCTGAGCTGCCATTAGTGCGTTATCCAAGTATCAGTAACAGATTCGTATTCACAGTAGTCTCCCTGAGTCAGTGGGGGTCTCAACAGATCGAGCTCTTACTCTGTCAGCGGAGAAGGCGCAGATGCTGCACTTCTTGACGAGCTTGCCATTGCTGTCGTAGGTCTCCATGGCTTGCACTTGGAAGTCCCGCGCCGGCAACCCTGAGGACGGCTTGCAGCATATCCTCAAGATGTCGCCGGTGCACTGCGCTCCCGGCCACTGCACTCAGAAGAACATCAAACGTCAGAGTATGGCTTCGTCTTCCTCGCTTTATATATAAGGAAGTTGATGTTTGATTTTAGTTTTTGTTTCGTCTTGTAAGAGCGAGTGAGACCACATAGCAAATAAGCTGGAAGCTAAGAGCAGCGTTGACACAACAGATCAGTAGAGGAAACTTAGCGATAGCATACCACAAGGGTCAAGGCCATGAAGTCTGCGGACTTAGAGGAGACCAGAGAAGAGAGACACAAGCACAATCCAAGCAAGAAGAGCAGCCTGAAAGCAGCCATTGCAAGAGAACCAAGAGGGGAGGGTGGGTACCCGGTGTGGAAGCTCGCCGGAGTTGGTGACGATGAGCTGAGACTTGAAGAGAACTGATGCGTCTTTATAGAACAGCGAGCCTGGGGACCGTAGTGAGCACGTTTTTTACGTGGACGCCTCTGTCACTCGCTGAGAGAGAGAGAGAGAGAGATAATTATGCACATTATATCTACGGCAGAAAAGATGTGGAACACGATGCACATTAATGCAGTAGATCACGTGATAATAAACATTTGCACTGACGGAATGTTCACCATACACGACATGAAACAAGTAACAATAATCCAAAGCGGGGAGCACAAACTGCCAAAGTAAAACAAACAGTTATCCTTTACCCACGAATACGAGATGTATATTTTCTTTTTTTTTTCTCTTGGGATTTTCTCCAAAATTTCACTTTCCATGCATTGATTTATGAGTTTAGCTTTTGGGAATCAATAAAAAAAAGGAAAGAATATGATGTTACAAATAGTAATGTTCAGCCATTCGCCATGTTTAACCTTTCTTGCATGCACAAGCATTGCATATGAAGTTATGCTTCCGACAAACGAAAAATCTAAACCCCTACTTTCTAGTGCTTACACAATCTTTCCTCCAAAGCAGAACAGAAAGCGAGAATTTAAACTGAGCTAATTAATAACCAATCATGTATTATACAACTCTCTGAAGTGCGCATTAAACAACAAGTTGTGAATCAAATCAAAAGAAACCATTGTAGTGGTACAAAGACTGAAAAGGAAGCTCAAATGAATTGAGATAATTTAACAACCAATCATGTATTATATGACAAGTGCAAAGAAATGAAGACTACAATCATCTTTAGGTACATATAAATCTTCAACCGATCCGAAAAGAGGCAGAGATGTCTACCTCCTTATTTTGGTCCTTTATAGATTTACCAGCCACCAAATGTGCCTTCTAAACTGTGTCATGCCATTGACTTCTACAGGAGGAAAAGATAGGTACGAATCTCAGCAAATGTTACTCATCATGTTATTTGAAGATAATCATGATACTGCATCCCACTTTGAATTTCCTGTTATGTTGTCTGGCGAGAAAAAAAAAATCCACAAATTCATCAAAAATTTCCCAGGATGGATATCCCACAGGTTTGAGAGTCGTACATTGCTACCGCTCCTGAACGATGGCCAAGTCAGATGATTTGAAAAAGTTCAGCACCATATATAAAAACCAAGTCAATATATTTTAAAAGCCAGAGTACAAAATAAATATAACCTCTTTTGTTATATACATCCCATAATAGCTAGAGATATGAAGGCTCATATATTTAGGTGGTTCTGAAAAGAGAGGATGTTTACCAGACCCAGAGCTTCCACTATAGATCTGTGATCATCAGCACCACAAGTTTCTTTGTACAGACTAAGCAAGTGCTTCCTTTGTTCTATGGTTAGATGTCTTTTGAGACCACTACCTACCATCTCCATTTCCGCCTGCAAATTTTAATATATGATTTCATCAATGCCAGACCATAACAGTATATTGACCACAAAAAATGATATGTTAATCTCAATATGCATCAATGGTAAACTATCCGATCCTGACATATATGCACCACTACATATGAAAGTTGATCCATGTTTCAAACCCATGCAATGATGGAGAGACATGCACTAAGCCACCTTTATTAGCTATTATTTAGAAGATATTACACCTTTGACATGGCTAAACAACAAATTTAATCTCTGAGACCTTCAATGATTTAGAATCTTAGCTCAACAGAATGTTCAAGGGTGTAATATACTCCTAATTTAGGGAGGTCATAGATGAAGCCATTTGAGGATGAACCTTAAATAGAACTTAAATACCTAGTAGTACTAGAAACCAAAAATATCGAGACTGAAATAAGCACAAGTATATAGAACTAGTGATATGTGTTATATGTTCATATGGTAGAATAACAGGGAATAACTAAATGCAAACAGATGGTAAAAAAGTGTTAGAAAAGTTAATCAAGAGCTTACAGAGTGTTCTTCTGGTGGGAAAGTCCGATGGATAAGACAAATCTTTAATAATTCCTCCAGAGCTTCAGTTCGTTTTCCCTGAACTTCCAATGCCTGAAACAGAGATTTAAGTCGCTCAATCATTTGAGCCATCATATCCGTGCAAACATATGTTCAATGACCCCCAAAGATACTCTAAGGACACAAAAAGCCACCCTTACAAAGAGAACTTACCCAACATTGTAGAAAACATGAACGAGTGCGAGCTGCAACAGCTGCACTTACAAGTGTAATAGCACGGGAGTTAGTAAGTCCAATGTTAACGGCAAGCCCAGCAATAAATTGTCTGACATCCTCGCCGCCAATTTGAGGCTTGTCACTTGGTATTATTGCTCTGATTGTTTTATAAAAAAAAAATTCAAAGTAGAATATCTAAGATAGAAACCGAGAAATAACAACCTGGAAAAAGAAGGGTTCATTTTCACATCAAAAAGCCAAGTGAAAAAACAAATTCTTGGCATGACTGAAACGAACCATCAACGAATGTGATAGCAAATTACCTGCTGCATGAGTTAAGAACAAAGTCCACAGATGCTCGATAAAAGGAATCACGTGCATTAGCTGTTTCAAAAGAGGCCCTTGCACCAGACACCTTGCATATCTCACGAAGCTGCACTCACAGACAGAAGACATCACCTCACAAATTTGAGATAGATAAATAGCAAACCATCTTATTAAAGAAAGTTGAACTAATGCTTCTGTATGTCTTATTTATAAACTTTTGGATGTTATCTTTTATTTCTTTTTGGCAACATATTTTTGACAGCCTCATGATAGAAAATACACTAACATTGTGCTGTCATATATATATATATATATATATATATATATATGACAGCACAATGTTTTCTTGACATTTTTTACATTTTCCTCTCCATTACCCTTGTTTGCTTCTTTTGAAACTTGTTCAGGGGCGATAGATTTTCTAACAGGGATTGTCATTTTAGCACTAATATACCAATTCATGGTTGAACCAGTTCAGTAAGCTGGTATAGCTGTATATAGGCTGGTACCATCAGAGTGTCCTGCTGGGAAAAATAAGGAAGAAAGGGAAAAAGCTGGAGGGATTAAAAAAGGAAAGGGGAAGAAAAGATGCATGCCAGTGTAAGCTAGAACTTCTGTGGAGAAGGTGATTCATAATTAAAGCATCATAGTCATTACAGATAGAAACAAGGTAGTCCACCTCCCAGTCAACTGACTGCTATATGTTCCTAGTGTCGGTAGTAAACTGCAAAATACATTCCATTCTCTATCCTTTAGTGTCCTAATCAGCACACCTTAGTCTAATTAGGCAGACTATTTGAAAGAAGACTAATGGCACTTGGCTGCTACAAATAGAAACCTGAACTGACATGTGAAAAATTTTTTGTTTTACTAAGAGGAATGCGATGATACCCTCATCCACCAACTCAAATTGGCTAAGTGGCCAAAATTCTGACATCCAGGCAGCCAACTGAAGCAATAGAAGTCATCCACATACAGACTAATGTGATCAAGGAAAACAGAGGAGCTTCAAGGCCAGGATCCTATTCCTCTTCTACCAAGAAAGCTAAACAATAACAACGCCATAAAGTCCCAACTATATAGGGACTACCAAGAAAGCCAAACAAGTTACTTAATGTTCTTAGCACACAAATATACTATTGTACAGTATGTACCAGTCCGATAGGGGAAGGCTATAGGCGGCAAGGTTTGCCGTACCGGACTGTACCGCCCGGTACGGGCGGTACGTACCGGTCCGACAGGCTAGCAGTACGCGGACCGCCCTGTACCGGTCCGCCCGTACCGAGCACTGTAGCAGTGCACTGTATCACTGTAGCACTGCTACAGTACTCGGTACACCTGAGTGTACCGCTCGGTACACCTGAGTGTACCGCTCGGTACATCTGGGTGTACCGAGCGGTATACCGTACCGTACCGGTACCGAGCCCGGGTCGAAACGCCGGTACGGTACGGTACGGCGAACCTTGATAGGTGGTATATTGATATGCCTCTATGTACCGTGTGTCAGTATGCTCAGTACGCACCATATTAACAACTGGTCGGTACACCAGTACAGACCGGTAAGACGAACCATACTGTTGATAGTCACTTCCCAAGCTATTATGACCAGAACATCTGACTCTAAGAAATAAGGGAAGAAATTCAGTCCATCTAAGTATTCAAAAATTAGAACTGAACAGATAATTGTTTGTTGATTGCAAAACAGTTTAATGGATCATCAGGAGCTTCATAAGTGCAACATCTCATTTTATAATCATGGCTTAAGATTTATTTGCCACGAAAATTTATGGAGGCCATGAATGGCTTATGATTTATAATCATCATTCTCATTAGATGTCAAGCCCTTCGATCAACATAAGGAACACGTAAGGCAGATTCAGAAGTGACTGGAGACAAGACTACTTGATTAGGCTTTAAATTGGAAGAATGGGCCATGAATTGCAACTTCCAATGTCTGTTTTTATCCTATTTCTATTTATAAAAACAAATAACACGATTTATAGTAACAAGTAACAACCATGTTCAAGTGTGTTCTATTAACCGAATATTTTTGTAGACATTTATAGTATTTAAATTTCAGATATAGTTGAAATTGTTTAGATTCTTTCAACTTCTTGCTACTTGTGCAATGACAAGTTGAGAGACCTGCCCCTAAGTGAGTGCCTATATATCTCTTGTTCTTCTCTTCTCTTTCTCCTGTTCTCTTTTCAGGTAGTAACACCTGAGACACCGAAATAAAAGACACCTACTTCTACCTGTGCACATTCTTCCTTTTCCAAACATTAAAACCTGAGAAGTTCTGCAACAGAAGACTGTTTTTCTCATAAATCCCACCAAGGACAACATGTAAACATAATACTGAAACAGAAGATCAGTATGCAAACTTCTTTCATCCTTGAAACAACACCCAATAGCTCTCTTCCTCCAAAATTGATAATCTAAAAACCAACAGTC